ACAAATTTTCAAAGCCAACTGCTTGGATCGGCTGTTGGTTTTCACCATTGACTTTGAACTCGTGACAACAGAAAAGCTATTTGGATATTAGCCGATGGTTGCTTTCTATCGGCTATTTGCTTGGTACGCCACACACGAGTTTTACCGGATGCCTAAGCCTGTTCTATCTCTTTATTCTTTAGGCATTGTACCCTTCTTCTCTGGCTTCTTGTTAGGCCCCCTGGGCACCATTGGCTCTCCTGCTACACATATGTCCTTTCATTGCCTCCCTTTTCATGATCAGCCCTAGTCCTAATCAACAACTCTTTTTCCAAGCCGATCATGAACACTTTTATTTTTTAAGCGCCGATCCATACCACTATGATGATATGCATCTTGAGCATGGATAGACCGGCGGTTGATTCGAGACTGCCTATACTCCCGATATTGATTGCTACATTCTAGACAATCATGTCTGGTAGGTAATTTCAAACCTTCATTCCAGCAATGTCTGAAGAAGGGACAATTCCAATGTAATTCAGCATGTTCTCTTTCTTACCTCTCTTGTTTCAGTTGATGCTGGTATGCTTGATCTTTCAACCATCGCTGATAATCCTTTTCCTTCTGTCACTGCCATTTATTCAACAGAATTCCGAGATGTGACCCGTGTCTTTGTCGCCTCTGTTTTAGATGTCCTCCCCTGCTCGTATCGACTTTTTGCTCGGCACAACGTCTTCTAATCTCTCTGTACTCGTCAGCAGATATTTGCATCTTGGGATCGACTGTTCCAGTTTCTTTTGATTTGGTTGATGTTAGGACCTTAGTTTTTCCTTTGAATAACCCAGCATCAACCTTAGTTTTTCTCCTAGGAAAGGATTATCATCGACTTTCATCTTCCGAGGCGTATCAAATTTGAGCCTCCCCTGCTGAATAGCTCTCTGTATATGCTACCTAAAGATTTTGCATTCATTAGTGGAATGAGAAGTAGCGTTATAGAACTTGCAGAACTTCTTATTCTTCAACTGATCAGGGGGCAACATGACATGATCATCGAGCAACTTGATCTACCCTTTCTCAAGCAAGAAATTGAAGAGCTTATCTGATTTGGTGACATCAAAGTCATAGCTCTCTTCGACTCCTCTTTCTCAAGGATTTGGCACCATCACTGTCTTCTTGCCCCAATTCCATTTAGCTATAGCAACTTCTTCTTCTTCATCTTCATAGCCATCATCGACTGAGTATGGATCATAAGCCTTGGCTATGGAGGTACTCTTCTGGAACCGGGTATCTCTGCGCATACTCTGGAATTGGCTATTAAGCGCTACTACTCGTTGAGCCAATTGACCCAAGTTGTCAAATTCTTGTCCCAACAGCTTTTCTTTCCACATTGGCAGCATTCCTTGAACAGCTAAAAGCACTAGTTGATCATCGGCCAAGTTTAAGGAGAAGCACAAGTTCTGGTTTCTCAAAACCTCTGAAGAAATTCAGTGCCCGATTCATTAGTCTTCTGTCTTATAGTTGTTAGATTAGTAATCTTCTTTTCTCTAGTCCCAATGTAAAAATATGTATGAAACTTCTTCTCCAGGTTAGCCCAATTGGCGATGGAATTGACTGACAATGATGAAAACCAAGTGAAGGCTGGCCCTGATAAGGACAGAGAGAAAAATGAACTTGATGGGCATCCTCAACTGACGCTTCGCCCAATTATGTAAGATACCGACTGACATGTTCTATCGTGGTTGTACTGTCTTGGCCAGTGAACTTAGCGAATTCTAGGAGCCTGTAATTTGTTGGAAGAGCGACCAAATCATACCATTCTAGATATGGGCGTTTGTACGAAAAGGTCCGCCCCTTTGGCTTCAGACCGAACTGATTCTTCATCATCTTAGTCATCCTCAGCAACTAATTCATCAGCTTGCGGATTTGGATTCCTTTGTACCTACTGACCCATATGTGGATTGAAATCTCGTGTGCCTTGATATCCTAGATTTGGCATCATGTGGATGGTGTTATAATCTGTGCCATAGTGATACCCTTGTGGGATCTCAATCTGCTGGGTCCTTTGCTGGCTTGCTGCTTGAAATCTCTGATTATAGATATAAGGATCTATATCTCAACGGATCATCTGAATTGATGGTGCTATTTTTTTGAGCCGACGATGATATGTGGCCTAATGTGCCAAAATTGATCACCTGGTTCTAATTTTGCCCCACCGGCTGTTGCACATGCTGTACTGATGGTCCAGAATTGTACCGTGTTTGATTTGCAGTAGTTCCTTGAGTTTGTTCGAATGAACCCTAAACTGTTTGGACATCACCACTACTAGCCGGTGCTGCTTCTTGATGGTTGGTACCGACTTGATTGGTCCTCTGGGTCGACGGATCTGGAATGTTGTAATAAGCCGGTCCGCCTTGACCAACTGCAAATCCATGAATCGCCTCCTTCATGGCGTTGTGGAATACATCCACGAAAGTTTTATTATGGCTTGATATGGCATCACGAATAGATTTGTCCACAACTTCTTTAAAGAAACGTCTGTCTTTAGCTTTAGTTGTGTCCGTCTGCCCGTGTAACAGAACTCTTGGTAGTGGAAATTTCTGAACAATTGTGTTGTCACGTGTTTTGGTGTAGGATAACAAACATTTATTCTGAAACTTTTCTGTAGCTTTGTTGATAATACCATTATCTTCATTAGGTAGATCTTCATAATGTAGCATAAGGATGTCGTCGTTGTTGTGAAACGCCAAGATGATTGTGGGGTCCCACCGGGCGTGCCAGAAACGTGTGTCGACACGAAAATTTTCGTCCCGTGCCGAGGACACACGCAACAAACCGGAAGGGTCCGCTCGATGGAGCAGATCCGCCTAGCTTCAGCGCAGGGATGGTCGATCCTACGCGTTCCTCCCAAGGCGAGGTATGCCAGTCAATTTGACCCTGCAATTGACAAGGAGAGAAAGTTTATTAGTAATTAAGGGCGGAACTTGCCGGTGTTGCCAGACAGTCCCGAATGTGTGGCTATGAAAGCCGATATGAAAGAAGATCGACTAAATAGCCGATTCCAGCATATTCATGAGAATAAATCAGTTAAAGTCCATGGGGTGTATAAGAAGAATCGGTTATCATTCAGGATAAATATCGTTATTTGAGCAAATATGAATCAATGACAATAAGATATCAACAATAATCGGTCCATACTGAGCCAATGATTACAAGTAACCGAACCTCTTTTATATAAAGAAACAGTTCAACGCCATTTAACCGTTTGATAAAGATAAATCTAATGAACATGTTAGATCTCATCTATTGCTATAACCAGTGGGGCATGAGGCAGAATCATGTAGGCCATAGAAATAACAATAAACTTGATGACCCTAACTCATTACTAATATCAATGGGGCATGAGGCAGAATCATGCTGGCCGTAATACAATAATATGATCATGGAGCTAACATATCTTTCAACCTATCTTTACTTCAACGATCTCGTGATGCGAACTATTCATGACAGTGCTCGATATCGGCTAAAACAGTCGAATTCAAGCATAGCACACAGTTAAAGTCGTGCCTTATCAGGAATAGATCTACCAGATAACGGTCACCACTCCATGGTGCTAACAGTGGGGTGTGAGGCAGAATCACACATGCCGTGATAACGGGCCATGGAACGATTCTCGCTAACCAATAAACCTGCTTGAGATGCAACACGCCTTAACCGCACGCTATGCACGATCAGGATTGACATAAAACAGCCGATAAAACATAACTCATCATTTAAGGTGTAGATTAAATCAATTTGAGGTTAGCAAATGATAGGCTAAACAAGATATAAGGCCGATTTAGATCAATCCCAATCGAGCAGAGTGATATTGCTATAATTAGATAACCGATGAAAGCAATAAACAATATCGGTAACTTAATGAATCTACCAAAGACTGTCATTCTAAGGTAGAGCCGATAACTTGACCTTGATCTAATTCAAGCAGTGGGGTGTGAGGCAGAATCACACAGGCCATACTTGAATTAGACAAGAGTTAATAACTAACTTATACCAGAGCCACAGTGGGGGTCGACCGGATCTATGTAGCCATACGAACAGAGGTATAAACCATGACGGTACTTACAACAAGCAGTGGAGGTCGACCGGATCGATGCAGCCGTACTTGCCGAAGAACTCGTCGAGATCTACTCTACTCCTACTCCTAAGGGGTGGCCGGAGCCGAAAAAGTAATTGACTTGTATTTGATTGATTGGTTCCTTTACAATAGTCGGGGCTTGATATTTATACCCGGGACTTATGCATGACTCCTGTCTAAGCACTACTCATCACAATTTTTGACCCTAAAGAAAATATTCCTAATTTTAAGATAACTTGGACTCTAATCTTTCTCTTTTTGTAGAGTCCAACATGTTTCGTCCTGGCGCTAAACGTAGCCTTTGTCGTTGTCTGCTGGCGCTTATATGAAGAAAGCCGATTTTAGTTTTTGCAACCGAATCACTAGGTTTCGATCTATACGCGATTGTCCCCTTGATGACACGATCTTGGGAGCTTTCGAGTCCCTGCAACTCTTCTTCCAAATTTTGGTGTAAACACAACCTGCTATGTGGGCAAGGAGCAAGTTCAGTCTAGACATCAAATGTGACTACATCAACAATAATCTGGCTGAGAGTTGGAATGCTTGGATCAAGGAGCACAAGAATCTACCTGTTCACTGCTTGGCTGATGCTAATAGAGAGAAGACACACACTCTTTTTGCAAAGAGGAAGATAGCTAATGCTCTGTCTCCTGGAATTCTACCTGCAGTTATCCATCAGCTCAATGCAGCCTCCAGGGGTTTAGGCCATCTAAAAGTGACTAAAGAGCATCTAGAGAAAGTAGAAGTGACTGAGATCTACAAAGATGAGGAGGTTAGGAGGCATGTTGTGTATCCAACACAACATATCTATACTTGTAAAGAGTAGCAAGTGACTAGAAAGCCTTGCCCACATGCATTGGCTATAATCACAACCCTGAGGCAACCCAATATGGACATGTATGTGCACAACTACTACTCAGTTGAGAAGTTCCAGGCTGCATACCGTGGGATCATTCCCAGCATAATAGATAGAGGACAATGGCCAAAGGTGGACAAGAGCTTCAAGTTGTTCCCACCAAATATGAAGAAGAGAGACCCAGGCAAACAGAAGAAGAAAAGGCATCTGACTCCATCTGAGAGAAGTGGTAAAGCAACAAGACAGGTCAAATGCCCTAGATGTGGTGAGTATGGTCATAGGTCTAGAAGCTGAAGGTGTTCACTGACTAGCACCAAAAAATGTAATGTACTACCCCTACTGTTAGCTACAATTCTAAATGTTAACCACTGACCCTAACAACTACATTGCAGGAAAAGAACTAAAAAGTCAGCCCCTAAACCTGAAAGGAAGAAGAGCAAGACAGATCCTACCCCTAGTGGAGGAAATACAACAAGAACAAGGGCAACAGTGGCTAAAGAAGCAGCAGCTAAGGCAGCAAGGGAGGCTCTGAAAGCTACAACTAAAGCTTTTGCAGTAGCTGAAGTTGTAGCTGCTGCAGAGAGAGAAGTCCTAGATGTGGCGCAATTGAGGTTGAGCATGCACCACCTTCAACCACTGCAGCAACTAGAAGGTATGCCCTACTTCAAAATACATGCTTGGTCAAAACTTACTGTTGCCATTCTGATAACATGTCTTGCATTCAACAGAAATCTCTGCTGGGATCTACAAGTTATGGATGAGGTAGATGAAACAGCAAGTGCATCTGTGGACCCACCACCTAAGAAAATGACACCAAGGAAGAAGCAGCTAGCTACAAAGGTGAGGAAGATCCCAGCCAACAAAAAGAAAAAAATTAGAGCACCATCAAGGAAAAAATCATTTTAGTTGTAAAGGCCCAAAAATTATCTCTTTTGTGTAACTAAGGCCTTCTATTGGCCAGGACATGGATATTTATGTGGCTAAAAACAATGTATGTGGCCAACTCAGTATATGTGGGCAGAACAATGTGTGTGGTAAAACTTTGTGTGTTTCATGTCACTAGATTTAGTACTGCTGGTTAATGTCACTAGATTTAGTACTGTTGGTTCATGTCACTGATTCATCCATACATTGTCACTTCATTACACCATACATCAGTATAGATCCTAATGCGGCAATTTACACGGCGGCGACGACGGCGGCGGTGATGGGCGGACGTTGCACGTAGTAGAGAAAGACGGGGGAGGGAGGGAGAGTGGAGGGGGTCGGGCCGCGCGGGGGAGGATAAAGACGCCAGGGTAGGGAGGTCTTTTTACTTGAGCATGCTGACTAGGATCCGAACTGGACAGCGGAGCTGGCATGCCACACGAGCAAAAGTGGTAAATGTGTATCGTTTTTCTCTCTCTGCTACTAAAAGCGTAGCGTCAAACCTATAGCTGCTATTTGAGGAGTCGCCATCCGTTATGATGGTAAAAAGTTAAATATCCCCTGCGGATGGGGTTAAGAGGGCTGCGCGAGTGGGGCCCGCTCTCTGACGACTTAGAGGCACATCGTCGGATGCGAAAGCTTTAAATGTGGGGGCGGTTATTGGCGAGTGCGAAAGCTTTAAACGTGGGGGCGGTTACTGGCGATTCGAAAGCAGTAGGAAGTTATTCAAGCTCGTGGTGGGCTGCGCCGGCCACGGGGAGCGGCCCAGCCGTGGGATTGAGATTGGGCGGCTGAGATCGTACGATGTGAATTGATGGGAGAATTTTTCTTTTTTGAGGAATCATTTATAGGAGATTTTTTGTCTGTATATATATAGAAATAATTTATGGGCGATTCAGTGGTGAGCTGCGCGTGATCTGGATCGTGTTAAATCTGAATCGAACGGTGGTAGACTAAAGAGTTTCCCCGTTTGAATCCGTTTTTTGTGGGATTGTACCAAAAGCCCAGTCCATGAAACATCACGGTCTTGCCTACTAGAGCCGATGGGTCTGGGCCTTCCAAAAAACCCTACACGCCAGCCCAAGCTTCTCTGCCTCCCGGCTTCACTGAATGGCAAGCACCGGCGACGGTACATGGCGACCCGATCACAATCCCACGGCCAACCGCTACTATTATAACACGGAGTAGGGACTTCACGCAGTATACCTTTTAGAACCTGCTACGGGTCACCTACTAAAATTTAGTCCATGTCACATCGAATGTTTAGACATATACATGAAGTATTAAACGTAGACTAATTACAAAACTAATTGCACATATTGAGACTAATTTACGAGACGAATCTATTAAGACTAATTAGACTCATGTTTAGTCTTTCTAATTAGTACCTAAATAACTAATGTGACATCTATTAAACTTTAGTCTCTGGATAGATAGCCATCACACATCAATTTTGCATCATGATACGATCTCGACTTGAGGTACTTCAGAGTTGACAATGTTTTCGTTGTTCTTGTTGGCAAAAAAATATTTTCGTTGTTCTTTCGGCTAATGCTCAAGAGCAGGTTCAGACAGACACCGCTTTCCGAGCCTACGCGCTACCGGCCCAACAGGCCTGCTTCCCCTCTGTGTCTTCCCATCTCTCTCTCTCAAAAATATCTTTTACTCCGGTGCTCGCCCATCGCGTGCTGCTGCGCATGAGCCCGCTATTGCCGTGTTCCCCGCCGCACACCCCATTTTTCTGCGCTACACGTCTCCCCCTTGCAGCGTCGCGCCCCCTCCGTTGCCGCGCTGCGCTCTTTCCCCGCCACGCCCGCTCCAGCTCACTGTGCGCTGCGCCCCCGTTGCTGCGCACCGTGCCCCGTCCCCACGCGCGCCGAGGTGCTGCTGGGGTGCGGTAGACGCCGCCGTTCTCCACCAGAAGATCGTGGCCGCTGTCGATGTCATGGCTGCCACGACGCACGACCTCGGCAAGGAGATGTTGCGATGAAAGCTCATGTTGCAAGCCCAAGTGTTCGAGACATTTAATAATGCATGCACTAGGCTTCCAAAGTTGAATTAAAGTTCAATCAAAATTTCCTCATTGGTTGTTTTCTTTCCACTTCTTTTGCAATGTTCCTTCTACACATATCTTCTTTTGCTCGCTTCCTTCTGCCCCCTCTGTTTTTTTTGGCTTCCCTCTTGGGCCTTCCATTTTGTTACTTGTTTGCTGTTTCTCCTCCTTTTTATGTGCCCAACATATTCTTCTATATTTTACAGGCCACTCATGCTAAGGGCTCTATTGTTTTCCTACTTCCTAGAGAACTCAGTCTGTGTCATCATATCCATTTTAGCGTGTGACTGGTACAGTACTACATGTTCTGTAGATCCATAGGGCCTTTGAATTGAACCAAAATCATGCTTTGAAAGGAAGACGATCCCAAGCATGCCTCAAGGAAGACGATCCATTTGGGGATGTTCTTGATTGGTCGTGGCTCACTAGCAAAGGGTGGTGACTTTCCTGGTGACCATTTATCGACATTTCTGTATATTGCCCAACTGGATCTGTTTTTCAAAATTACGTGCAAGCCTAGCTTTGTGTATCACGTCATTTTGCCAATCAGCAGCTATTCTTGAAATGACGTGGCCGGTTAGAATGCTCATCTATTTTTGTTCGTCTTTTTGAAACTAGCTTTGTGTATCACGTCATTTTGCCAATCAGCAGCTATTCTTGAAATGACGTGGCCGATTAGAATGCTCATCTACTTTTGTTCGTCTTTTTGAAACCTTGGAACTGGCTCAGTACAACACTACAATAGCAGCTGAACATTATTCAGTCTGTTGCCGAATACCGACTGTTATCTTCATTTCATTGTCATGTGTCCTGTAAATAATGTTTTCGCATTCCCCTAGTACTGTGTAAAAATTGGTTGTGTATTATTTGAAGTGAAAACTGAAACAGTTCTGTTGTGGACAACTTCTGAAGCTTCAAGCTAACCAGATTTGAAAATTTAAAATTTTGCAAATATTTCTGAAGCTAATCAGTAAGCTCTAGCAGCAGACCAGATGACACCGGGAAGTCTTGAAGGAGATCTGCTTGACCAGTAGCAGAGCTCAAAGAGAAATTGCAGCACTGGTAAACAGCTTTCCTTCAGGGCATGGCGGCACCTGCAGTGCCTCCCTCCCTCCCTCATCCTGTTCACCTTCTCGGTGGTACCACACCACCACCGGGGTGCACGGTCGAATGCTTGATGCAACTGATGTTGATGCTCCTTTCTCTCCTCGTCCCCAGGTCTCACCTGGCCTGCCAGAGCAGCTGGGGAACACGGCCTACTCTGGTCCTGGATTCCCACAGCATCCTCTCCCCTTCCCTCCCTGTGTAACTCTTTGAAATTTTACCTCATGTGCACTTGTGCAGTGCTTGGCAATAGAAGCTCAATTACATGTAGTTTCAGTTTCAAATTGAGCTTCCCTTACATTCTACAGATGCCAATGGAAGCTCCATGATGTATATGGTGTGAGATTAAGGCCACCTGAATCAAGAAGGCTGATTACAAGCTCAAAGGGTCTAGGACACCAGAGAATGTGTTCAGATATGCACCATCATCACAGCAGAAAGAAATGCAGCTTGCACTTCTTGCTGAACAGGTCAGTTTTTTTTAAGATAACTGAACAGGTCAGGATACACATTGCCATGATTCTTTAATTAGCAACATGGTTCCTGGCTCTGTTCAGCGACTGTGATCCCAGCTCGTGGTGGTAACACGCGGACTCAGGAGACATAAAATATTTCCATGTGACCCTAGGCGCGTAGACATCAACTTCTTAGATCACCTAAGTTTTCACAGAAAGTGACCTTTCTTTCTTTTATTTTGCCGCCAACCCCCCCTCCCCTTCAGTTTCGGTCTCTTCGTCTGTTTGTTCCTTTGGTGTTTCCTTTTGGCTCCATGGCAGGCTCTTCGTCATACACTGTTCTCCCTGTAAGTACTCTCAGTTTCCCAAATTACACAGTTCAATTTCTTGCTCAATACAGATGGTATGCCGTATGCAGCTCTGGTACCACCAGTTTGACTCTTGTCACTCTTTCTGGCTTTCTGCCCCTTGTTTTCTTGATCTGTAGGGCTATCAGAGTGAACTGACCATGGACAACGATGATGAACAAATTGGAGTTGTTAAAACTCAGGTTTACCCTTGTTGCTCTTACTGAAGATATGCGTTAGTATTTTCATAAGCTAAATATTGTTGGCTGAAGGATAGGAGTGCTGATTGTAGGCGAAGTATTGGGCCATTTTTATCTGCTGGCTTCTCGGAAATGGATGTCTATTTGGGTTCAATGGGATGCTTACAATTGAAGATTACTACGTGTACCTCTTCCCGGTATGAATGTCTACATGACTATTATTTCCATCTGTTTTCCATGTACCTTGATTTGCTGGTAAAAAGGCACGCATTAACTGATTTGATGCCTTCTGAATGCAGAAGTACCATCCAACAAGAGTTATTACTCTCACCTATCAGCCCTTTGTTCTCGCCACAACCGCCATATTCACGTATCACGAGGCAAAGGTCAATACTAGGGTGCGCAACTTGGCAGGATACATGCTATTCTTCTTGAGCTCATTTGGAGTGATCATTGTAAGCCCTGCTAATTACTGCCTACAAACACATAAATGATCTTCACTTATTTGCTCTTGCTCTGGTAGCTGGATGTTTTGTCTTCAGGAAGTGGTGGAATTGCCCCATTCATTGGTGTCTGTATCATTGCTGCTGCTTTTGGCGTAGCAGACGGTCATGTTCAAGGCGGAATGACTGGTGATCTGTCCCTGATGTGCCCAGAATTCGTCCAGGTGCAGTTTTATATAATCACCGTTGCAACAACAATTTTCAGGAAACATTTGCTCAAAATTTGTTTAATATAAAGAGTTAAATGCACAAGAGGTCCATTAACTTGTGAGAAGGTTTTAGTGAGGTCCATCAACTTTTAAAGTAGCTTTTTGGATCCATAAACTTTATATACCGTATCAATTAGGTTCATATCCCTTCACGTGTGCTTCTCATGCTAACATGGCCTGATGACTTATCCATCTGAAACAAATATTGACCCTTCATTTCGTCAAATGTTGTGGGCGCGCAAGCACGCGCCGGGCGACCGAGCAGGCACGTCTTGTCCACACGGGCGCGTGAGAGCGGCCAGCCATGCGGGCGCACGAGCAGGCACTGCCACCGACACCGTCTCACGGCTCATGGGGCTAACAGGAGCCCGTTCCAATTCTAGGTGCTGACATCACCAGTCGAGCGCCTTCGACGTACTCGTCCACGCGCCATATCCTGCTATAGTGCCTCGTCGGGGGGGGGGGGATGACCTCACTTCTCCACAGCTCCCGGCACCGGCCTTCTGCTAGGTTGTCGATGACCCGCATGGCATGTCAGGTGTGCTCGGGTCCCGCGCGGTGTGCCGGGTGTGCCATAAGCGTGGCCCGCGCACTCACGGTGGCGGTGGCGATGCCTACTCGCACGCCCGCGTGGCCGCGGCGGGCGCCTGCTCGGGCGCCCACAACATGTTTGACAAAATGAAGGTCAATAGTTGCTTGAGATGATCAAGCTAACAGGCCACATCAGCATGAGAAGTCCACGTGGAGGGATATGGACCTATGTGCTACGGCATACGAAGTTTATGGAAAAAAAAAACCACTTTGAAAGTTGATGGATCTGATCGAAACCTCCTCACAAATTAATGGACCTCTAGTGCATTTAACTCTGATATAAACTTACTACAACACTGTTCGGTATGTTTGGATCTGGATTTTCAGTCCTTCTTTGCCGGCATGGCTGCATCAGGTGCAATAACCGCAGCATTAAGGTTCTTCACAAAAGCGGTTTTTGAGAATTCCAGAGATGGCCTGCGGAAAGGAGCTAGTATGTGGCAACAATCAGATTTGCATTTACCTCATGATTTATAATAAAACCTACCATTACTGATACATATGGATGAAACTAAATTGACTGCAGTGCTGTTCTCTTCGATCTCATGCTTCTTTGAGCTTCTATGCGTTCTACTTTATGCTTTGGTATTCCCCAAGTTGCCAATTGTGAAATTCTACCGTTCAAAAGCTGCCTCTGAGGGGTCTCAGACAGTCACAGCTGACCTTGCTGCTGGAGGCATCAAAAGCCTGCCAAATCCATTGGTACCCACATGACTGATAGAAAATCTTGTTTCAGCTGAAATGCAACCTCATGATACTGAATTTCTCGCCGATTGGTCAGGCTGAGGAAGATCGTGTGGTTGAACGGTTGAGCAACAAGCAGTTGCTGCATCAGAACATGGACTATGCTCTGGACATGTTCCTGATCTATGTCCTGACACTGTCGATTTTCCCAGGGTTTTTGGCGGAAGACACTGGATCGCACAGCTTGGGTTCTTGGTAATAATCCTACTTTAATTTTATTTATTTATCAAGTTGACTATATTCACCTCATCTGTAACTGCAAAAAACATATGTCGTCTAGGTGAGTCATTATTACTTCCTTTTGACAATTCAGGTACGTGCTTGTTTTGATTGCGAGCTTTAACGTGTCTGACCTGATCGGAAGATACTTGCCTCTGATCGAGCAAATCAAGCTGACATCCAGGACGGGGCTACTAATCGCAGTCATCACTAGATTCCTGCTCGTCCCCGCGTTCTACTTCACAGCAAAGTACGGTGACCAGGGCTGGATGATCATGTTAACGTCACTCCTTGGACTGAGCAACGGCCATCTCACCGTCTCCGTCCTCACCGAGGCACCCAAAGGCTATAAGGTTGGTGTATGAACATTTAAAACCGCCATTGTTGTTTGCAACAGAGTTTGCTCGGGTTTATCACATTGCCGGTGTTTTGGCTGCAGGGACCAGAACAAAATGCTCTGGGGAACCTGCTAGTGCTTTTCCTCTTGGCAGGCATATTTGTTGGCGCTGTTTCTGATTGGTTGTGGCTCATAGGGAAAGGGTGGTGACCAAACTTATTTTACCCAGGTGTATTTATGCAAGCGAGTAGATCATGCAATTAATAACTCATTTCAATAGTTGACAGAAAAAATAAGTGTATTTTTATCATAATCAATATGAATGTATTATTCACTTGCTATGCAGTTGTCATAGGGTTGAATAGCTCAATTTTTCGAGGATTGAATAACATTGAACATCGGGAGTTGTAGACCTTTTTTAATTTAGTCCTTTTTTGAAATATTTTTAAAAGTTAGACCCATCGGAGAAAGATTTGCAGAAATAGATTCAGAGCTTGTTGCCATGACCTTTGGCACCAGGTTACACACTTACACATCTCGGTGTAGAGCTACTTGGCGCTGAAGTGGCTGATGAGGCAGCTGACGTGGCAGGGGGTGGGCTTCGTGGGTGTTGGGTTGATCATAAGCAGCTAGAGAGTAAGGCCCCGTTCGCTTCTGCGGAATGGTGAATTCCCGGCGTCATTAGTAAAGACAGTGCAAGGATATGCAGAACCTGCTCCCATAGGCCGAAGAGTTAGGCCCCGTTTCTCTCTTTCCTCCTTTCCTCTCTCACAAACACAAGCGGAGCCGGGCTTCGAGCCCAAGCACCTATCGGGTCCGTGGGCGGCCAGGCAGCGGGAGCCCGAGCATTAGCCCCGCGAGCCCTAAACAGGTAAATTTGTATAAGTTTTTATTTGCCGAAATTATTTCTGGTGCATACTGCCCTAAACGAATGGGCCCTTACTGTGGTTATCCAGTCATCAGGAACTTGGGTAAGGAACTCTGTCAAGTTGACCCAGATCTGCCAACCGATGAAAACCCTGCTCAGGTGCACTGTAGAATACTAGCAAGTTGAAATAGGCAAGACAATTAAACAAATCACGCATTATAACTTCAGAAGACATTCAGATGTAGGTTTCCTTGCACGCCACAGTGTTTCCTTGCACGCCACAGTTTTGTCCACCTCGGCTCGGCACCCTCGAGGCCTTACAGGCAGGCACACCGTTCAGCAGGCCGACCGCGCCACGGACTAACGGACAAAGCAGACTCATGAGGTTGCATGCATTTCTTCAGAATCTGAGCTACTTCGTGCAACCTTCGCATGCATACACATATCATAATCACTTCATGCAACCAGTTTACATGCATAGACATATCACAATAAGTTCAACATGACAAGCAGATCATAAACATGTCAGATACACTCCATAAACATATCACAATCATGTAACCACATCACAGAAAGACGTCCATGATTTTTAAGATTACATGCAGATCTCATACACATTCCATATGTCTGCACATGAAGTCGGGCCCTCCTGAGAGGAATGTAACTCTGGTCATACTACATAACCTGGAACCCCTCATGGGTTTAAGGTCGAAGGAGGTCGAGGTCCTGAAAAAAAGGAACATGACATGTTAATGTCGAATATGAAGTTTTTCATGTCCTACAACAGGAAATACAAGGTCTACTAGAATCATAGATGCGTGTGTAGTAGGTATAGATGCTCATTTGCAATAGGATGACAATATAGAAACATTAGTCGAAGCAGCATTATTTTATGAAATGTATTGGAAATTCATGTTGGAATCTACAACATGACCTTTTGTGAAATAGGTTTTGGTCACATGAACAACATGTCTAGTGAAGACAAATATAAGCTATACAGAATGTGTAACAACCTAAAAATCTACACACCCAAAAATCACAACTACAAAATTTTTGTTGCTACCCCATGCAATGTTGAGTGACATCTGTAGGAGCCAACCCTAGGTGTTGCATTAGTTGTAACCCAACTAAACAATTTCATGAGCATGGCATGTCATTTGTTAATTATGTTTATTTAAATACTGACAAATAAAATATAGCATACATTGTTAACTCAAATGATGATTTGGATTTCCATTTGCTTTATGTAATGCCTAACAACTCCTTTAAAGAAATAAACCATAAAGTAATTATTAATTAAACCAAAGAATAAATGCTTAAAGAGAAAACTATTTCTATTTTTGTATAACAAAACTACACCTATTTTTGTTATACAAAATAGCTAAATAAAGTTCTTAATATATATAAAAGAATGTTGTGGGCCTCATATCTAAAACTCCAATGAATAAGGTACACCAATTTTGAATTCAAATTCCAAATTAAATTTGAATTTAAACAAAGGAGAAGAAAAATAAAACAGAAAAAGGAAAAGAAAAGAAAGAAGGCCTGCTTGCTGCTGACCCATTGTGCTCCCGACCAAAGCCAAGCCCGCCTCAAATGCTTACTGGCCCCTAAGACTGCCCGCGCTAGCCTCCGCCATCGCCTCGCTTCTTCGCTTCGCATCGCCGCCAACTTGACCCCCTCGTGTCACCCACCCCGCCATAGTGTCGTCTTCTTCCTCGCACACCTCCGACCGAGACCCGACTAAAGTGACAAAGCGGGCCCGGTCACGCGAATCACACAGCCTGTCCCTTGGCTCCACGCAACCTCGCCCAACCACCCGCCCACTCGATGCCCTCGACGCGCCGCCACCGGAGCCATGGATGAAGCTCGGCACCGAGGCTATAAAAGCGACGCCAGAGCGCCTAAAGTTCCTCGGCGACGCCGCGCCGCTTCGGGCCCCAAAGACCGCACCGAGAGAAGAGGGCCGAGAAGGAGTTCGAAGAGGGAGGCGAGCAGAGCTCTCACCGATCATCGGGCCGGGCGCCGCCTACGCCTACCCGACAACGCTATTCCACCACCGCACCACACCAACGCCGCTTCGGTGAAATCTTTTGGTAACCTCCTCCTAGCCCTTGGGCGTCGTGGCGAACGCACGCCAAACGCCAAATTCTTTCAGCGCGGTCATGTGCTGCCACCACTTGATGTGTCTGTTAGGATGTAGCCGTAGCACCCCGTGATGACCGGAAGATAGCCAGAGACCGAGACCAAGGCGTCATTGCCCCACGAGCACTTACCGGTCGGAGCTCCGCCGTGCACCACCACCACGCCTTGCAGACTCCGCCATTTGGTCATCGTCGACACTTTACCCTATCACCCGCTAGCCGTTTAGGACACCAGGACCCCTAGAACAGCCCCTAGAAGCCCGTCGGCGAGCAGCCACGACCAAGCCACTGACCGTGGCTATGTCCCCACTACCGTGAAAGCTTTTCCCCACCCCAATTGGGCGCCAACGCTGCTGTGGAAGCTCGTCGGTGAGCACACACCACCGGCGAAACACGCCGGGGAAGCAGGAATTCTTCCTCACAGTTCGCGCGTGCACAGTCTGAACCAGGAGGGAAGAAGGGTGGACTTACCACCATGCATCTATGGACCGTGAACACCGATTCACCGTGAACCACGCAGGTGGGCGAGCGGTGGGCGAAGCCCGATCTCCCTTTTAAAACGTGGCAGCACCACAACATGCCACGCATCCAGGCCGGCCCGCCCAAATCTAGCCTGCCCGAGCCCACCAAAGCCCGGTCGAGACCCAACTGGTTGACCGTTGACCGGTCAACGTTGGCTATGACCTGGCCCACATGTCGTCGACATACGAGAGACTTCGGGACCCACATGTCGATGCAAGTGATGTCATCATGACAATGTCACTCCCACTTCGCCATAATGAAACGTCATGATGACGTCATGGTGATGTCATTTCTTGCCGCGTCGATAGCCACAGCCCTACACATTATGGCTGTGATCCGCTGACTGTTGACTCACCCGTTGACTTGACGTTGACTTTGGCCGGACCCACAAGTCGCCCAAGAGCCTGGTGAAAACGATGGCGTTGATGACGTCATCTCGGGTCACTTGTCACCGAAGTCGAGATGATGACGTCATGCTTGACGTCGGCATGCTACGTGGGCCAACAGGAGCGTGACTCTCCACGATATTAATTCAGACTTTTCTCATTTTCGAAATGGATTTAATCTTGAAAATTCATAACTAATTCGTCGACCTCGTAAAAAATATGAAACCAGGACCAAAATTCATCTAAAATCGAGCTCTCGCAATGAACCCATGTTTGAGTACATTTGGCTCTTTTGAATTTTCATTGCTTCTTTGTGTTATTCTATAGACGCGTCACTAACGCGACTATAATGCGATCGTTTGCATTTGCTCCGTGAGGAGTACTGATACGACTACTGAAGGTGCCACATCCCACCCAATCTCGTAGCACCTATTACGTTATGGCTAAAATAGAAATGCTAGTGCTTTACTTTATTGTTATGATTACACTATGATAGGACTTGCATGGTAGTATGCTTTCTTGATGGCCTTTACCTTGAGGCAACCTGAAATCTAGTCACACGTTTGCTGCTATATTTCATTGCTTATTACTTCTACTATGCTTGTACTACATTGATGCGTGATGGAAAACTGATGTTATCTGGACTATGGGGAGAGTGTTGCGTATGTGACTTGGGTGCATGGAGGGTGAGGTTGTGTCGACCAAGTTGGAGTATCGACGAGCCTGGGCAAAGTCTTGCCATGGGGTGCTACTGGCACCCCGGAATGGATACTGTGGTGGGTAAATGGTATATGAGGTGGCCCTAGGTGTGAACTTTTGGGAGGAGCCCGGGTGGAGGTGTTGTGGTGGCATGGTAAATGGAAACCACAGATGAAGACATTACGCTTGGTCATCCCTAAGGACTTACTAGTACTCAGATTCACCGGAAGCCTTACGTACCACTGCCCTATATGGTGCGGGCGGCCGGACCACTTGGGTAGCATATTGCCATCTAGGTTGATAGCGGATAGTGTAAGGAGGTGCAAGCGCGGAGGATTTTCCCCACCCTTCCCGAGACTTCATGGAGACCTTGTGGACCCAGTCATGACTCATAGTTTAAATACACCCCAGACTAGACTTGGGGTGTACAGTACTGTGAAATGGTAGAGTGGCATTATCTTAGGCTAGCAAGCATCTCTATCAGCCCCGATTGGCCGATTTACGGCGGTCGGCGAGGAAGGCGAGATCTTGTGGTTATGTAAAACCTCTGCAGAGTGTATGGTTGATCGATCGATACATATGCCGACTTGT